AGTAGAGCGTTTTTTCCCCCTTATTAGTTGATAATTCCTCTGATCTTTACAGAGAACACACTGCCTTGCCACATTTACTTATTCCATTCTCTCTTCTTTAGGTTTCCCCAAATTGATATATTTTAAGGTATTATAGTGGACCAGGAATCAGGAGACTAAGAAATCGCTGCCAATGATTTTATCTCATAGCCCCAATTTTCTCTTCTGTTAGAGGGGACTAACGTTATTTGCTCAACCTTGCAAGGTTGCTTAAGGCTAAAATGAGTTTTAAATTATGAGTGCTTTAAATCAAGAACATTTTACAAATGATTGTCTCTTTAAGACACTATTATTTTTTCCCCCAAAGATCTTATTTAGAGAGGGGGAAGGGAAGGAGAGAGGGAGAGAAACATTAATGTGTGGTTGCCTCTCACACACTCACTACTGGGGACCTGGCCTGCAACCAAGGCATGTACTCTGACACGGAATCGAACCAGCGACCTTTTGGTTCACAGGCTGGCGCTCAATCCACTGAGCCACACCAATCAGGGCTAAGATACTATTCTTTGCAGCATAGGGGATATAGTCAATAACATTGTAATAACTATGTATGGTGTTAGGTGGATACTAGACTTATTGGTGGATCACTTTGTACATTATGTAAATGTCTAACCGCCATGCTGTACACCTGAAACTAATATAATATTGAATGTCAACTGTAATTAAGAACCAAAAAATTTAAAAAGACACCTTAAACTTTCATGTATTAAGAATCACTTGGTATATTTATTAAAAATGCAGACTTATGGCTGATTCTATAGGCTTTGAGTTTGACTCAAAAATGCAAAAACACAGGCTGATTCGGATCAGGAAGGAGGGCCAAGAAATCTGCAATTTTCAAGTAGCATCCCAGGTTATTTCTATGTAGTGGGGAAAAAGAAATATTACTAACAACCAAGTACAATTAAAGAGGGGGAGGAAAACCTACATCACTCCTCTTTCTTACTCTTTTTTTTCTTTTACATCCTTTCCTTCTCTTATTCAGCCAATATACAGCCTTTCTTCCCTTTACCCACTTCATCCTCCTTTGTGTCTGGCATTGGCATTTTCTTAGCACAGTTAAAGAGGCGCTCAGTTTAATGTGCAGAAATGGAGTGGAGGAAAAGGAGGAGGGGTGTGGGTGGAGAAAGGCTAGATCAGTGTTTAGCTATTCTGTGAAGACTGTTGTTGTCGGCTGGTTCTAGCCGGCTGGCTCCGGGAGAGGAAGCAGTGGGGTGAGCTAGATCTACTGCAGCTGCCCAAACTGTCTCTTATTAGCTAGAGTAGGATCTGATGTAAGACACCCACTACATTTTCTCCAGCCACATGATTTTTACATTAATCACAAATGAACACTATTTTAGGTACTGATAACAATCCTGGATTCATTCTTGTTTATAATTCTTCTCTTTACTACTTTCAGTTTTGATCAATTCCCAGCTTGTTTTCTTGCCTTTAAATCTAGGAGGAAAAGATTTGCACCAGATGGTGTCTATGGGGTACTCAGAGATTTTTGCTTGACATGCAATCTAGGTGATAGTAAGTTATGCTTTTCTGGCTGATGTAGATATACACGAATGCAGCACAGCTATGATCAGAAACACTGGGTTGGTTGGACATGGGCAATTTATTAGGGGAGATTTTGTTTCCATCAAACCTTTGCTTTTCCTCTCGTATATTCATATTGTCTACCAATAAATTTAAAAAATGCTTCTTGCTGCAAATCTAGCTATTATAGTCTAATGAGGTAATCTGATTGGTTAAGTGAAATATCTAAATCACAGTACATTTTAATACAGTCATATATAGTTAATTCTAATATCTCTTGTCTAAACCTTCATTTTCATTAGAATTCTTTGGAGTGCTTTAAAAAATATTGGTGCCTGGACACCAATTCCAGATATTCTGATTCAGTTAGTTTTTAAAAAGCTCTCCCTTGATTCTAATGTGTCTAGGCATAAGAGCAAAAATCTGGGAGTGTTCTGGTTTAGGCAAAGAATGCACTTCAGTTTCATCTCAAATACTATTCACCATAGGATTGGTCTCACATGCATAGGGACATGCAGTAAGTATTTAAAACTCTTTGTAAATTTTACCACACATATCTAAACACTGATGTTTGACTATTTTGGTATAAAGTCTTGTATTGTAATAGCCAATATTTATTGAGCACTTACTATGTAGTGAATTATATGTGAGTTACCTCATTAATCCTTATAGCTTAATGAAATACTTATTCTCCATTTCATTGATGAGAACAGTGAGGCTCATAGAGGTTAAGCAACAATCCCAAGCTACTAGAAATTAAAGCTGTGGTTTCAAATCAGATTCATCTGATTCCAGAGATGCTGGGTTACTTATATCTTCTCAAGGTATTCAGCTGATCCTAAAGGCTCCTGCAATTTTTTAATTTACTGGGTAAAAGTGAGTGGTGTGTGATTAAAACAATTTCCTTAAAATACTTTTGAGTATACATTCCTATCCAAAGGAGATGTGTGCCCATTCCTGTCTAAACATATGAAAGCACAAACAATATGATTGAATCTAAGAAACTATACCTTTTGAACCTTGCTTTCCTATTATGGAAGTGCTAAAAATAATTTCTGCTTCCTCATTACTTTATACAAAAATATAAAGTATAAATTTGATCATTATTCATTATTATATCATCTGTTTAAGCTATATCATTGGCTTTTTAAAATATAACTTTTTTCTGAAAAGCAATGTCGTTTATGCATTATGATTTTTTTAGAATGTGTCTGGCACATAGTGCCGAAACATTGAATGGAATGATAGCATTTTTTAAAAGACAAATGGCCAGTGAGTTAATAGTTTAACATTTTCTACCCACAGTTTTACCATATAACCTGCTTTTTCTGATGCATGGTTACCATGAATTGGGCTCCAATTCAAGTAAGTGAGTGGAATTGAAGGATAGGTTAGGCAGTATTATTGATCCTCTGCTGGGTGGGGTCATATAACCTTTCCCTGAGTCAATTTCCCTATGTGTCTTTTGTCAGATTATCATAGTATCTCTGAGAGCAAGCTTCCCGTGATAATAAAATGCTTATCTGTTTGTCTTTAGTCTGGATATATTGTATTTTATGTTCCAGGAGACTGAATATCAGAGCGGAAGTAAATAGCAACATTTTAGTTGTCTATACTTCCCCCCTTTCCTCTGAAGATAGTTTATCCCATACTACCTGTATTTGTTCCTCTAAATGTGTCCTTTGTGAAAATAATTCACTATTCTAGATCACTCATAGTGACATAATAGCGGTGAACACATAATAGTACTTGCTTTGTGCCAGGTGTGAAGTCTTATATACTCTAACTCGTTTGCCCCTTATAACTACTCAATGAAGTAGGTAACCATTTTTATAGGTTTTTGTAAAACATTTTTTTAAATATATTTTTAAAGATTTTATTTATTTATTTATTTTTTAGGGAGGGGAAGGGAGGGAGAAAGAGAGAGAGAGAAACACCAATGTGTGGTTGCCTCTCACATGGCCCCCAATGGGGATGTGGCCCACAACCCAGGCATGTGCCCTGACTGGGAATTGAACCTGTGATGTTTTGGTTAGCAGCCCCCGCTCAATCCACTGAGCTACACCAGCCAGGGCTTGTAAAATATTTTTATAGTTAACTTTTGTAGCTGAGTAAATTAAGATACAGAGAAATTACTTCAGAAGATCACATAGGTTATGTGAAACTTGACATCTGATCCAGTCCAGAAGTTTTATTCTAGGTTCCCTGAAGGAAATCAGAAAAAGCAGACCGGAAAGACTGGGAAAGGAGCGCAGCGAAGAATTTACTGGCTAAGGTGACTGAGAAGGGAGATGTGGCCTGCAAGAAGGCAAACTGGTTAGGGCATTATTTTATCATATCTGGGATCCCTGGCAGTAATAAATGACAGGATATTTAGAAATGAATTTTCCATACGAAATAGCAAGTCCTCTGCTGCCTTTAGTTTTTTATTCTTTATGATCTAGAAATATTTGTTAACGGAGCAGTAATGTAGATGAACATATTCGTATTCTTTGCCCCCTGGTATTTTTGTATAGTTTGAGAACTGCAAAATGCTCTTAAATATATAATCTCATTTTTAATCTCACAGCAACCTTGGAATAATATAGTCATATCTTCTCAAGGCTCTGAGGAAGTTAAGTAACTGATTTGCCCAAGGCTTCTGGTTTCTAAGCTGTCTGTACCACCCTACCCTGCCTTTATCTTTAAAACTTGTATCTTGAAAGCTCTGACAATATATAATGTGGTTTTAAAAAAATGCCTCTCGATATACAGAGGCATTGTTTTTACTCGCTACACGGAAAAGGACCTGAGGGGTATTAATGATCTTTGTCACCAAATCTTTGCCTCCCGGATTCCAGGCGGAGGCCGTCAGAATGGTGCGCGGGAGGCAGAAGCGTGGACACTGCGTCCAAGAGGCTTGGTGAGCTCGCGCCAGGGCTCGCAGTGCGGATTGCTGCGGTCGGAGAAGGGAATGCGAAGACCGGGAGAGTGTGCAACGGAAGGAATTAATCTCGCGGTTTCGAGTCGGGAACGAACCTCGCTCCCTCAGCCGTTCCCCTTCCTCAGTGAAGACGGTTTGGGGGCGGGTGGGGAAAGCGCGTCCTCGACCCGCTCTCGCGCTCCCGTTTCCCTCTCAGCGCGCGCGCTCCATCGCCAGTCTGCAATCCGAGAGGCCGGCGATGGCCTCCGGTGGGGGCCGGGAGCCTGGACGGCAAGTCTCAGCACAGGTGTGAGACCCGCGGGCCGGATTCAGTCCGCTGCTCCGGCCCTTCGTCCTGCCGGCCGCCTCCCCCTGCCCGCCGCGCAGCCGCGTCTGGAGGGCGGAGCCGGGGGGCGCGCGCGCGCGGGGTCTCTGCACGCGGCTCCTCGGTCTGGGGCAGCGCAGGGCAGCCTCCGCGGGCGTCGTGCGCTGTGTGAGCGGGGGCGCGCGCGCGCGCGCGTACGCCGGGCGAGTGAGGGAGCGAGGAGTGGCTGGGCGTGAGTGTGTGAGTGTATGTGGGAACGAGTGTGTGTGAGAACGAATGTGTGTGTGAGTTGGGGTGAGGGCGACCCAGGGCGACTGCGAGACAGTGAGAAAGTGGGCGAGTGTGCGAGGGCCCTGGCCTGGCTGCGGGAGCCGCGGTTGCGGAGAAAAGAGGCGGCTCCCGGCATCCCGACCCCATCCCCCTTCTCGGACCTTCAGCCCCCTCGGCAGCCCGCGTTTCCCTCCGAGGCCCCAACCCGGCTAGGTCGCCGAGATCGGGGGAGTGGCCGCCCGAGCCAGGTGAGCGGTCCCGGCGCTTCCTCCCCTCGTGCGCGGGATGAGGCGGAGGCGCGCCCCCCCATAACCCCCCCCCCGCCCCCCCGCCGTCCTTCCCTCTGTGGGCAAGTTGTGCGGAAAGGACTCGGGGACGAGTGGGGGGCGGGGGCCGGGGGGCTCGGCCCATGGAGGGAACCAGGCTGTGCGCGCCCTCCCAGGGCCCGGGGTTGGTGAAGGCCGGGGGTCGCTTCAGAGCCTGAGACAGTGGGGCGCGAAGCAGAACCTGGGGTTGGGTGTGCTGGGAGGGGGTCCGTGATGCCGTGTGTGCGTGTGACTGGGACGATCGCGCTGGGGAGACAGCGACCTCGGGCGTGAAGTACGGTTTCCCTGTCGTGAGGGGGTGTGGTAACTCTGGGAATGCGCTGTGCTAACCTGTCCCCCCGTGTGGTCGGTAATCTCTGCTGCCCCTGCTCCCGTCTGACAAATTCCTGTGGTGTGACCGAAGGAGGAGGATGTGGTGTTCCTCCTGCAGTCCTGATGTTTTTAATTCCATGTTTTCTCCCTTCCGTGTAAATTTTAGAGAGTGTGACAGTCATTCCTCTTTTCCTTTGATGGCCCTCTGAATAAGAATGGGGTCAAAATAATTGCTTGTTGTGGTTGATTTTTTTTTAAGCATATGCAGTCCTTATCTCCCCTTGCTCCCCCTTAAAAAATCTAAATTAGGGGATAATTTCAGATTTAGATTCCTTTGCCTGACAGCAGATTTGTAATCCCAGTATTTTATCCCATTTGTATTTATGAATAGGGACGGGGCATTAATCATATTCTATGGTTAGTATCGTATACTAACCGTGTTGAAAGTAACTTCGACGTAAATTCATTCAGTGTGTTGTTATTTTCCCATTAATTACGAAATTGTTCCCATATCTTTGTGGAGTTGGGTTAAACTCTAAATCTGTATGGAAAGTATATGGGCATCTTAGTAATGAAGACATTCCTTTCTTGTGGGCTCGACATGTTTATTATATTTATGGATATTTATTATTTTAATGGATGTAACCGTTAAAATTTAAATGTTATTTAATCTCATTTTAATTCTTTCACAACACTGGGTAGTTGAAAGGTCTTTTTTTTTTCGCCCTTTTTTTTAAAAGAACAGTTCATTGTCAAAATAAAGATATGCCAAGATACTCACTTGGAATAAAACACTCTCTGAAATTCCAGCCATGGAAATTTAAGATTTATTTCCCAACTTTTAGAATGAAAACATCTAATTAAAAAATGAACAGTCTCGGTTACTCTATGTTATTTGGTTAGTGTATCAAAGGGGAGGATGCCTATTTTGTTTTGAGATAATCTTTTTTTATTGCTTTCTGTCTTGGTTAGTCCTATTTAGTCTGGCAACGTGGCTGTTGATGTTTTTATCTTTTTCTGTCTCCCTTTTTCTCTCTCTTGTCTTCTCTTACCCCCACCAGGTGCTGGAGTCTGCTTGTCAGGGAGGGGGGCAGTCTGTGATTCTGAGAACAGAGAGCCAAGAAGGGGAACAGCAAATTCAGTCACATACCATCCTCCACTCAGCCAAGAGCCACTTTTTCTTCCCGCCTTCCCCCCTGCAGGGGGTAAGGAGCTGCATATCTATCTAACCTGTAGACTTTGGACTACCAGCTAGAATTCCACTTATCTTAGTTTCTGTGGGGATAGCTTTTAAAAATTTTCTCATGTTTTCTTAGAGTCCCGATTGATAGCATCTAGGGGTGTAGGGGAGGGTGAAATCAAGACTATCCTTTTTTTTCCTTTTCCCTTCTCATTCAGTTCCTTTTTCCTCTCCAGAGGGAAATTACCAGCAACATCTTACGGTAAATCCTCTTATCCCTTCTCAGCAATATTGTGAAGAAACACACTAAAGTGGACATTCTTTTTTCCTCTGACCAATGAACACCAGCCAAGCTTCAGGCATTAGTTTGTTGGGGCACAGGATGAACCAAATCGTTTAAAGTATCTCCCAATTCTTCCTTTGCCCAATTTGTTTCCACCTGGAATTTGCTACTGGGGTAAGTCACTAGACTGATTTTTCAAAACTTCTCCCTCCCTGTGAGCTGAAAGACTGAGCACCATGAACCCTGGAAGGGATTGGGGAAAGGGACCCACCAGAGTGAGTTGTTCTACACTTTGGGAAATAGCTTTTATTATCTTGCCTCGGGGAGCAGGCATTAGAGGCCTAAACTGAGTGAAAATGGGTGGAGGAAGAACTTCTATACCCACGAACAACATGTGAAGAGTGAGAGAAAACCAAACATAAAGTAAGGAGGGTGAGTTTTATTGTATGTTGCTTGCTGACAACTGTTTTGGGGGGATACTTGAGTGATAGGATTTGTAGAGAGCTTACGTCAGGTTAATTTAAAAAGTATTCTCTGCAAGTGGTATTAAGTTATAAGCATATGGGAAAATGGCCTTTAGAAGTTGTGATACTTATTTTAAAATTTGTGGTAGTAGACTGGTAGGAGCAATGAAAAAAAGTATTATTTTTAAATGTGAGCTTTACTGGCATGTGCAGTTGTTTTAACAGAGGTTGAATAGGGGAGATTAGGTACAGATGTTGGGGAAATTGTCTTTCATTACTTGGGAATTGTCCTGCTTGTCATATTAAGGGTTGTTAAGAAATAATATACTACCTCCAAAAATATCTGTACATAATGTATTTTAGATTCATGTGCCATATGTATCTGTGTTCATGTTAAGTTTGCAAAAAAAAGGATTGGCTTTGGCTTCATAGTAACTAATGCTATGGTGTTATTTTCAGTGTTTTCTTTTCCATTTTTTTTTTCCCTTTTAAAATTGGCTTGGAGGACAAAAGCCACAGAGCTCTCCAGCTCTACTCCCTTAGATTCTGGGTCTGCATGGAGCCCATCTGCTTATATCTTTTTTTCCTCTTATTGAAACTGGTCCCCTCCCTTCCCAACTTTAATTGTTGACAAAGCCAATTATTTCAGGATCAGTTGTGTAATGATGATGGAAAGTAGCATTAGGCTTGGGTGGTTTTGTTTTGAGAAATACCAATTTTTGGCAGCTGTGTTTAGATAGTATGGGGTACACATTTGCTTGGTATTTGATATTGAAAATACCTCTGTTTTTTTGATACCCCTTTATGATTCAGTATAGCATACTCCTTTAAAATAACTCCTAACCTTTGACTTTTGTCTGTCATATGGGGTTTTGTGTTGCCCACTGTGGATAACAGCAGAGAAGAAAACAGGGATCCTGTCTATGGAGCTTACAGTTCATTGATCTCTGTACTTCCATGTGTCATTCAGTTCTCCCAGCAATGTCTGGAGGAGTCTACTCTGTGCTTATATAAAACGTGTACCAATTTGTGAATTAGCAAAACAAATTTGTATGAACATTGATATGCTCCATTTTTACTACCTTTCTTTTGAAAATGGCAACTATTACCAAGTTGTGACAAAAAAAAATTCAAACCTACCCCTTACTTAAATGGTTTAATCTGTTCAGTTCCTTATGTATTCCATTTTTCTCCCTTTCCCCTTCCCATACTAGCTCTTGACTTCATGTTCTTGGCAATAAGCTTTCCAGAATAGAAAATGAATTTGTTTTATAAGATGAGACCAGTTCTCTGTCACTGTTCTGCTGTTCCATGCTTGATAGCATTTTGAACTTTGATACATACACCTTGAAAATTCATGCAGGTTTGCCCAAATAGTGATTTTTGGAATTTCCTGATGCTTTGGAATAATGTTATAGCCATATCTATAAAGCCTTCAGTTTGAGTATATTAATAGCTTTTGAACTCCTTTGTCAAAGAAATGTCCAAATGTTCAAAGAAAATTTGGCCCAACATCTAACACGCCAAATGTAATGAACTTGGAGCTATACTGTGTGTTGTGTCTCAGGGACAATTTTCAAATCTTGTGCTGTGTTCCAGAGATACTTTGATATAACATTTCTTTGTTAAGTGAAATCATTAGAAAGTTTATTTGCATTCCAGAGAAAACTTTTAAAAAAAATTTAATAGGTCTTATATACCACAGACTATTTTGGGAATTTCAGTAACTAAGCTACAGGTAATTTAACATTTTTCTCACCCTTTACTTGAAAATGTGTAAAAATTTGCTTGTTAATTTGCTCATGACATTTTTATTCCCTTTTCCAATTTTCCTTTTATTATAGTAAAATACACACAAGATAAAATTTACCATCCTAATCATTTTTAAGCACACAACACAGGTTAACCATCACACCATTTGGTGATGGTGTGTAACCATCACCAAATCCATCTCTGGAAGTCTTTCATCTTGTAAAACTGAAACTATAACCCCAAAACATTAACTTCCCATTCCCTCAACACCCCCAGCCCTTGGCAACCGCCATTCTACTTTTTGTCTTTGACCTTGACTACTTTAGATATCAGAGCTCAATGTCTTCAGGGTTCATCATGTTGTAGCATGTATCAGGATTTAATTTATTTTTTAAAAAAGATTTTATTTATTTTTATAGAGAGGAAGAGGGAGAAAGAAAGAGAAACATCAATTTGTGGTTGCCTCTCATGTGCCCCCTACTGGGGACCTGGCCCACAACCCAGGCATATGTGCCCTGCCTGGGAATCAAACTGGCAACCCTTTGGTTTGTAGGCCAGTGCTCGATCCACTGAGCCACACCAGAATTTAATTTCTTTTTAAGGCATAGTAATTGTATACTGCATTTTGCCTCTTTATTCATCTGATGATGGACACTTGGGTTGCTTCCCATTTTCAGCTGTTGTGAATAATGCTGTCATGGACGTGTGTGTACACATACCTCTTTGAGACTCTGCCTTCAGTTCTTTTGGTTATATATCTAAAAGTAGACTTGCTGGGTCATATGGTAATTCCATTTTTAATTTTTTGAGAAACAACCATACTGTTTTCTGTAGCCAGCTGTACCATATTACTACATTCCCACTGACAGATTTCAAGGCTTCCAGTTTCTCTACATTCCTTCCCAACACTTATGTTTATTTTTAATAGTAGTCATCCTACTATTGTAAAGTAGTTTCATGGTTTTGATTTGCATTTTCCTCATTTTTAGTGATGTTGAGCATCTTTTCTTACTCATAACATTTTAACATCAAATCATTTTTAGCTCTTCGAGAGCTGGGACTATGTCTTTTGTTTACCATGGTATTTTTAGGTAGAGTGCATTGTAGGCACTCACATTAATTGAATGTATTATTAATTTAATGCTTAGTTTTCTGTGCTTACAACTACTTTTTGACTTTGATCATTTTATTTTTTGGTGGGGGAAGTATACAGAAACACTTTAGGGATGTTGCGAAAAAGTATATAAAACTAGCCCTGACTGGCATAGCTCAGTGGATTGAGTGCGGACTGTGAACCAAAGGGTCACAGGTTCGATTCCCAGTCAGGGCACATACCTGGGTTGTGGGCTAGGTCCCCAGTGGGGGCCATGTGAGAGGCAACCACACATTGATGTTTCTCTCTGTTTCTCCTTCCCTTCCTCTCTCTAAGAAAAATAAATAAAATCTAAAATATATATGTATATATAAAAGTAAAATGATCAAATGTAAAACGATTCTGTTAGTGTAAAAAGAAAAGTCCCATTTGTAAACATACCATTGCTTGCTGACATACACAAACCTTGATGTCAAGGGAATAATTTTAGCTCTTGAGCAAGGTATGATAGAGTATGTTTTTGCAGGTAAAGTTCAGTGGCTTATAATAAAGAATCCCTAAATATCACTGACATAAACAGGATAGCAGTTAATTTCTTTCTTATGTAAAAGAGGAAGTAGGCAGTCAAGGCCATGACACTGCACAGTTGTTAGGAATTCAGGTTCTAACAAGTGATTGTGCTTTTCCTAGAGTTGACTCCTGTCCTCATAGTCCACATGGTTAGAGCTCTAGCCATAATATCCACATTCCAGGTTCTGGTTGTTTTTTGTTTTTAAATTGGTTGTTTCCTTCTTTTGGTTGTGTGAGGAGGTGAAATGTATCTACCCTGCGCCTCCACGTTATTTTATAATAAGTGTCATCTTAGCTAAAGGATGTGACTATTTAGGAAGTACCTAGTTTCAGAGGGACATTAAATATTATTAGTGGGTAATGGGGTAAGTGGACTCACCCTATTGGGTGTTTCTGAGACTCTTCTGAGCTTTTCATTGTATCATTTACTTATATTCTGTACCTTTAATATCTACAAAAATCAGCCCTGGCCAGTGTGGCTCTGTTGGTTGGAGCATCATCCTGTAGACTGAAAGATCATGGGTTCAGTTCCTAGTCATGGCACATATGCAGGTTGTGTGTTCAATCTCTGGTTGGGGTGCATATGAAAAAGCAACCAGTCTGTGTTTCTCTTTCAAGTTGATGTTTCTGTCTCTCCCCCTGCCTCTGTCTCTAGAGGCAATGAGAAAATGTCCTTGAATGAGAATTAAAAAAAAAATACCTACAAAAATCACCCTCTTCCCCAAGTAGGGTGTTTTTCCCATTCTCCATCTTTCTTCTTAATGCTTTTGTCTCTCTACCACTTATTCCCATTTTCATCATTTCTAAGAGCAATTTAGTTCTACTTCTGATGGACTTTGGATAGAGTAAAGGAAAGGAAAGAGGGTAAAATTATTTCTATGTCTATATCTATGTATTATAGGTATACATATATAGATACAGGTATGGATATCACAAATTGTGTCTTATTTCATTTGGGGTAAATTGAAAAGAATTGGAGAATTCATTGAGAGTAATATCTTTGGTTAAAACCTGAGTCATCACAAAGTTGGCATTAAAAGGTACAATTTTATTACATCACATGGTACGTACACACACACACACACACAGAAGGAGAGGGAGATTAGTTTTAAGGAATTGGTAATTGGCTCCTGTGATTGTGGTACTGGCAAAATCATAACCTGTGGGGCTGGGCAGTGGGCTGGAAACTCAGGATTTCTGTCTTATATTCTTGATGCAGAGTTTCTCTGGAAATCTGTTTTACTCTTTAGTCCTTCAATTGATTGGATAAGGCCTATCCATATTATATAAGGTAA